ATTATAAGATTATATTGGCAAAAGATTTGTGATTATGCGATTACTTGGACACCCCCATGAAGGGCCTCATTCTTATTGACCAATTTTATAAGACTTAATCTATAACCAAATGGACATGTGTTATGAAAATGTTGAAGATAGGTAAAAATTCACTTCTCATGAAAAGTTTTAAACATTCAAAAACCATTTGGTAAAAATATGTTATATTGTTGGTGTAGTACCTTTGACATAGATACCATATCTTAACACCAGTTCGTAAAACCTAAACCGTAAAACGTGTGGTCTTGAGATCTACTTTTTTCAAATGTTTTTTTTTTTAATTATGTACACAGGTGCAATGATGCCAGTTTAGAAGATAAACAGTTGACTTTTGTGCTGACTGGTAGGAGAGTATGTGAATATGCATGGAGGATTGTGTATGGCATAAAAAGGAGGAGGTATAATACCTTAAAAGTATAAATAAATTAGTTCATGGGCTACACATCCTTATGACAGCAACCCAACATCAAAGTAGTGAGGGGGCCTCGGTGGTTTGTGATCTTAGTAGTTACTACTGTAATCACTAGCCAGTCAACACTGAGGTTGTGAGTTAGAACCCCGCTTGTGCGGGTGTGCTTGACTCCAATCTTAATTGACTAGGATTGTCAGTTTTCCTATCAAAGGTCGGTTGTTTTATTTGGGCGCTACTGCTTCCTCCACCAATAAAAACTGGCTGCCACAAGATTGCCCAAAAGGGGTGCTTCTAAGTGATGTTAAAAACACAAAAAATCAAAATCAATTCAAATCAAAAGTAGTGATCCCACATTCTGTTGTAGTCTACCTGGTTAATTTTTAATGTATATATATACATTTGTTTTAAAATACCAATCAAACAGCTATCCATGAGGAGGTTGTAAGCAACTACATGTCACTGTTAGGTCTTTAACAATGAAAATCCCATATTGTATAGTAAACTATTTATGCTCACAGAATGGGAAGCGATTCAATTGAGAAATCAAATAGCCAGATATATGCTAAAGCCACCATCAAAAAAAGATATGACAGACAGCAAGGAACAACCATTAATTTACAGGGTCCTAGGGACAGGCCCATAAAGTATGTGGCGGGGTTTAACATATATCCAAACAGATGAACACTCTTCTTATACATGTTATATTCAGTCTGTGGCTTAGTTTTTTTTAGACATAAAAAACTTCTAAAGGTCAATTTGCTATGTAATTTATGAAACTTTGACAGTCTCAAAACAGGATCTGTAGAATTATTTGTTTGAATCAAGTCTAGGGTGGTTTCTTTAACAATTTACTTGATTTGTGTTCATTTTTCACAGATAAAACAAATTGAAAAATGATTTTTATGACAAAAAAACACATTTCCTTAAAAGGATTTTTAAAATTGATGTCAAATAATCCGAGAAAATAAAACCACATAAATTAGTAGTGGTATCAGCCTGTTATATTTTTTACATTTTTAAATTTCAGGTATTACTACATGAAAAAGAAATGTAGGTCTACTAATGAAGATTTAGACAATTCTGACAAAAGATGTAGCCAACAATACAAGAGTCGCCAGTACCTTGAAGCAAAGAGTTTTGTTACAGGTCTATGCAAGAGATATGGTGATGATCAGCCTGATATTCTGGAAATACATTTGCCATCATGTCTCTCTATACTACAAGTTTAGACAGATTACAAATTTTCCTGTGAGAATTTAGGATCACCCTATTTATCATACCAGAGGTTCTATGGAATGTGGATTGAAGAGTTTCCTCATGTTAAGATTCCAAAGGTTTGTATGGAGTAATATTCAGAACAAAGGTGTTGGTTTATGAACATGATGAAGGGATAAAATAATATGCAGATGTCTAAATTATAACTGAAAAGTAGGAAATCATCACAGTCTGACACATCTTGACAGTTATGATGCCAATGCACATAAAACATATGGTATCAACTGTATTTTACAAAGCTGTTTAATATGTACAAAATATATGTTTTGGTAAAGTCATGACAAACATCAATTTTTTTTCAATAATTATGTGTAAAATTGTCAATTATGTCAAAGTCAACATATATATGCATGTTTATGACATAAAAATTACTTTCTGCACTTTATGTTAAATAAAGGTCATGTTGTATGACACATGAATGATGAGACAACTATCCTATAGAGTCCAATTGACATGGATTTAAGCAACTAAAGGTCACATTGGACCTTCAAAATGAAACTAAACTATATTTCAATCTTTTATTAATAAAAAAATGAAATTTATGTTGCAAGTCTTTAATAGTTCATTGGTATGACAGTGACTTTATATATCATATCTCCTGCTTTATGTCACATAATTAATTCCTTCGTCATATTAACAAATGTTCAGTCATGCATACATTAAGAAACATTCATAGAATTAAATAGATGTAATCTTTTTGTTTATAGTATCAGAAGCTCAGCAAATGTAATGAGTGCGTAATCTTTAAAGAGACCATCAGCAAAAAACTGACAAAGATCGATTTGGGAGAGCTGAAGGACAAGAGAAGAGCACACTTTCTTCTTCAAGAGTAAGAATTTTATCCACTCTTAAAAATGTTTTTTTTTTGTACTTTTCATGATTGATGCAAATACATCTACATTATTAGCTCAACTGCAAGTACTGAACCAAATTTACCAAACTCTGCAACAATCTTCTTAGGTTTTTAGTATACAAAAAAGGTGGCCTATGACCATGCCTGCCAACCAAAATTGCCAACATAGCTTAAAATAGAACAGTGGGGGTTAAATGCAAATTTGTCTGATTATCTTGAAAGCTGCTATAATTGGGGAAAACATGATGAGAGAGATGTTATGTTGTGATCTGCCCATTTGTACAAAACCCTCAGTTGACTTGTTATGGAGTTATTGCTCTTGGTTATTTTTTTTACTGTTTTTATAAAAAAGAAGATGTGGTATTGATTGCCAATGATACAACTCTCCACTAGAGACCAAATGACACAGAAATTAACAACTTTAGGGACACCAACTGCATTTAACAATGAGCAGATCCCATACAGCATAGTCAGCTATAAAAAGGCCCCCAAATGACACATGTAAAACAATTCAAACAAGAAAACTAATGGCCTAATTTATGCACAAAAGAATGAACAAAAAACAGATAATGGAACACAGTAACAAACAACAATTAATTTGACTATTATCTTGAAAATTATGAAAGATAGATAGACACTTAAAAAAGCCAATATGATATGAGTAAGTAGTCTTAAATTAAGATTTTTTTTACCCTTTTTGGTGTTTGGGCAAAAACTCAAGAAGATAGAGAGAAACTATAAAAAGAAAAAATTATCAATGATACAATATCAGCAAAAAAAAGATAATTGTCATAAATTCTATTCTGGTCTCCAATGTTTGTGAGTGTTCATAATTGAAGATGCAAATAGACCTTGGTGAGCGACACAGGCTTTTTAGTTAGTTAAGTCCCTACTGTGCACAAGTACAAAGAAAGTGTATTCTTCCTAACATTACTACACCATGATGTTGGGCAATGAAACCATTTATGATTACTCACCACTTCTAGAAAATGTGTTGGTTGTAGGGAAGTCATGGTCATGGAATTACCACAACTATTAATCATTTGTGAGTGTAATGTATATATTTTTGATTTTTTTTCAGAATCTGCAGGGAAAAATATTATAAACACATAAAGAAATCCAAAGAACATCCAAGCATGTACACTTCTGTTATCATTGACAATATGGATCAGTCCAAAACCAATCTACCAAGGTTTCCATTACATTTTAAGGTGAGTTTGTTTTGGAAGGGCATATTTTTATTATAAGGGTTATATTTAGAACATGATATTTCAATGCAATAATCAATTTCAATGTTGAAAGCAGGCTCGCAGTGTTAGATTCATCTTATTTGTAAAATTATAAAATAAAAACAACAAAAAAGGTCCATTTTTATGCCCCATTTATGGGCATTATGTTTTCTGGTCTGTGCGTCTTTTTTTTTGTCCGTCCGTCTGTCCCGCTACAGGTTAAAGTTTTTCGTCAAGTTAGTTTTTGATGAAGTTGAAGTCCAATCAACTTGAAACTTAGTACACATGTTCCTTATGATATGATCTTTCTAATTTTTAAATTAGAGTTTTGACCCCAATTTCACGGTCCACTGAACATAGAAAATGATAGTGCGATATGGGAATCTGTGTACTATGGACACATTCTTGTTTGGTATATCATTTGAATGTTCTATTTTGCTATGAATATCTAGGAAATGACACATAATCGTGAAGATCTAAGTGGTGTTAGCATCTGCAATTAATAGAATTTGGTCTGGTCAAACTCCTAACCTTTCTCTGTATTGAATTGTATCTTGCACTATATTTACATTGTAATTAAATGATTGATTAACTTAACGCAAAGCAGCAATCATATGAACTAACAGGATGTGTAGTGAAAATGACTTCTTGCAGTATTTATTTTCTTTGAGCATTTTATATGAGACAAATATTTTACCATTCTAGATAAGAAGGGGGCTTTATTGGTAGCACCTAGTCTATCTGTTGGTACAACACTTTCGTCCAACTTTTCAAGGAACTACTATTAAAATAAAATGACCTCATATTTGCTATTTGGTCATCAGCTTGACAGTGATGACATGTGATATAAAAAAGAATCTGGAGATTTGTCAGATACCTAACTCTTGTTTGCAATTACTTTGAATTTTTCAATATTGGAAGGAATTCAACTTTTTTTGTCATATTTTTCTCAGAAACTACTGAAATCAATGACTTTATTTGGTCAGCCGCTCAATATAGATGAGTTAAGCATGTTAAGAGTGCACCTTCAGATAAGTCATATAACTACTTCCTGTTAGCCAATATTTTGAATTATGATTGCATTCTTGTTTAAGTTATGAGCACATGTTTTTAAACTTTTTTTTTTTTCAGAATGAAACAACACTTGAAAAAATGCACCACCATGTTACAGGTGTTTTATGTCATGGATTAAATAAGGCATTAACATTTACATGGACAGATCAGTTTTCCTCTGATTGTAATATCACCTTGAATTGTTTGATGTCTGTGTTGGGCGATGTAGCAACAGTAAGTATCTATTATCAAGTTTAAAGTGAAACAATTAGCTAAAGTTCTCATGTAAGAGAATACTGTGGATTCATTTATTTTCGTGGGTATCAATTTTCGTGGATTGAGGAAAACTTGCATTTTCCTGGATATTTGATTTCGTGGTTTTGCCATACCTTGGATACAAAGCCTAAAGAAAATTTGTAATTCATTGACCATTTGAATTCGTGGTTTACCAGTATCAACGAAAGCCACGAAAATTGGTATCCAACGAATGATAATTAATCCACAGTAACACATTTTCATTTATTTTACAATTTATTCAACAACAAGAACGTCTAAGTGTATAGAAGCCACCTTTAGTCCATTAATTTTAAACATCAAAGATATGAAAGTTAAGAGATGTGGTATGACTGCCAATTAGACATATCTCCAAAGATTTCACATGACACAGACACTGAAAAATTACAGATTAATCTAAGCTAGCATTACTATTCAATTAGAAATAATAATTGGACAGGGTTGCATATAAAAAAAGTAAGAACGATGGGTATGGTTGCCAATGAACTAATTATGCATAGAGACAATGTTGTAGACTATTGCAGGTCAAAGTATGGCCTTCTACAGTGAGCAAAACCCATACCCTATAAAAAGCTAAAACGCCAAGTGTTGACAAAATGGAAAACAAATTCAAAACTGATTTTTAGAAAAAAAACATATTTCATGGCTTATTTTGTTTTTACATGTGCACTAGACCGCTATGTTATTCTCGTTTGATAATGAGGTTAATTTTCACATTCCCATTTCTGAATATATATATAATAATAAAGAGCCTAGGTGGTCGAGTGGTCTAGTGCGTCGTTCACAGTACAATGTGATTTGGTGGCACGATATCTCAGTAGCATGAGTTCGAAATCCCAGCAAGGGAATATATATATATATAAATGCATGAACATTATTTATTTTGCTTTTTACCAAAAATGTAATGGAAATATAAGCAATAATCTGTAATTTTTCAAAGAAATGTGAGAAGTTTATAAAAGTTGGGAACAAATTGCGCTTCTCATGATAAGAGATGAAAATGAAACAATTTATTCATGCAGTTTTATCGGTGAACAAACTTCTTTTCTCAAAAATAAGCTTTGACTTAAATACTTTTATGACTAAAATACTTCATATGCTAGAAAAATATATTATGTTTGGTATAATAGGGTTGGATATCTTTTAACTGTGATGATATGATGTATAATATGTAAACCTGATTCCCTTTTTTTTCTTTTTAGGAAAATGGTGGTTTACCTCCTACACTATATATTCAAGCTGATAATTCCCCAAAAGACAACAAAAATAAATATGTGATAATATTCCTAGCAATGTTGGTGAAAATGGAAATTGTAAAAAAGGTAATTTATTTTTTTTGCATTTATTTAATTTATTGATAGATGGAGTTACCATGGTAATAAAATTTAGTATTTGAAACTTTTATTGGAATTTGTTAGCATACATGCATTTTTGTTATTCTTACTTCAAATCACAAGGGCATAAATTCAGACATAACAGCATGCAATACATTTTTAGTTCCAATATTTGTTTGTTGCAAATTAAAACACTTTTTTGCTATAACATAAAATTGAGAATGGAAATGGGGAATGTGTCAAAGAGACAACAACCCTACCAAAGAGCAGATATATATGTCATGTATATATCATATATGTGCTTGTCATTTCATCAACAATAACAAAAAATCACTAACTTATGAAAAGAAAAAAAGAAAATGTTTCATAAAACAAAACAAAAGTGCATGTTGTAGTCACAGATTCCAAAAAATACATTTAAGGCAATCACTTAAAGGGGTAAAACCCAGCTAATTCATTTTCACTGATTTGACTCAAATTTTCATGTTTGATTTCTAACATAATAAAATGAATATCCAAATTGTAAAAAAATCTAGAATTTTTTATGTATGGACTGATAATATGTATCTTCATGATGTGTGTATTTTTGTCTAGAGTCAACTTATTTATCATCTATTCGTAGCTAAGTGGCACTTCCTTGGGAAACTAGTCAATTTTAAAAAATTGTCAGTAAAATTCAGAGATGCCAATAATTACGATTTTCAGTCATTGAAGTTATTTCACGACTATAATGAATATTAACCATATTCTGCTTTTTGTTGTTCAGTTTATTTTTTGTGTTGAACTACTATATTTGGTGAATGGAATGATTTTTATGTGTACATATCCAGGTGTCATCTGACTTTGACGTCATTTTCATGGTTCACTAGTTAAAAGTTTAGTTTGTGTGTTATAGTCTGTTTTTCCAATACTGTATGCAATAGGTCAACTATATTAGGTGTATAGAAATATTTCCAGTGTAGATACCTGTCCAGCAAGTTTTATTGACCTCCACCTCATTTTTATGGTTCATTGCTCAATGCTAAGTTTTTGTGTTTTGGTCTGTTTTTCTTAAACTATAAGCAGTAAGTCACTTATACTAATATTTGGTTTATGGAATGATTGTAAGATGTTTATATGTATATAGATATAAGAAGATGTGGTATGAATGCCAATGAGACAACTCTCCATCCAAGTCACAATTAGTAAAAGTAAACCATTATAGGTCAAAGTACGGTCTTCAACACAGAGCCTACCGACCGTGTGAGGGCTGTATAGCAAGTCAAGGTCGTTAATACTTCCATTATCATCATCAGAGTCTTGTTAATGATGATACATGTAATAATGCTTCATATTTAGGGCTATCAAAATAAATTCCATGGTCAGTAAAGCAGGCAATACATTCAGTATGTTGACTCTTATTATTATTAATGTGCACCAAAGAGTATTGGCACTTATGAAATTTTAGTTGAACAATGTGAAATTTGGAATTGAAGCTTTAATAACTTATTACAAATCTATATCTTTTTTTTTTACAGATAAAGCTGACATTCCTCATGGTGGGTCACACCCATGAGGATGTTGATCAGTTATTCAGTAGGATTTCTGTTAAAGCTTCAAAAGAAAAGACAACAACCATCCCAAGCCTTTTGGATCTGATCAAAAGGTCTTACACACCGCAACCTATTGCAAAGCATGTAGAATCACTGTATGATTTCCGGGATCAGATGGCATATCCATCCAGTCTAGCTGGAATCAAAAGTCAGCACGTATTCAAATTGACAAAGGATGGAGACAAAGTTTTCTTGGCAATGAAAGAATGGCCATTGGAGTCAGCACCATACAAAACATTGGAGCTGACTAATATATTACAGAATCTCGACATGCCGAGGAAGGTGGAACCAAACATGGAAAAGATTGGTGGTATCATACAGTTGATGAGACGAGATCTTCCAAAATGGGTTCAAAATGGAAAGTTAAACAGAGAAGATGAACTTTGGTGGATCAACTACCTATCTACCCTCGAGAAAACAAGACGCCCTGCACCAAAGACTCCTTTGCCACAAAATATGGGACGTTACAAGAAACCACAACATGAACAACCAGCTATGGAAGGTAATTTGTTGGCTGCGATCAACAACCATATCCAGACTTTTGAGAGAAACACCGCAGTTAGGATTGTTACACACCGACCACGGGTTTAAGTCCTCAAAACTAATTCTATTTTGTATATTTTATATATTTTGTATATATATTTACCTCCTAGGAACATTTGATAGATAATCTTCTTATGTCATATGAGCACCAAATTTTGTGTCTATAAATGAAATGACTTCTGTATGTTTGTTTCAAAGATTAATTCGTAGAAACTTGTAGCTGCTGTCCTTTAGTGAAGACAGTTCAGCATTTTATAAGCATGATAAGTGACAACATGTTTAAGCAGTTGACTGTATGAAACTAAATATCATTCACATTAATGTACAGTACTGTAGTTTGCAATTTTTGTATGGAATTTTGATTCATGATTATTTTGAAAACTAAGTGTTTTTGTATAGCAGTGCTATATCTTTAATGTTCACAAATGTACAAATGTTAATATAAAAAACTAATTTGTAAATAATATTTCAATTGCTACAGTAAGTGTTTTGACAAGTTAAGTCAATGTTAGTATTATTTATTTTGAAAATTTTGAAAAGTTATTTGTATTCTGAAAGTAGATTGGGTAAGTGTCAATTTTCTGGCTAAAAGCTTTTTAAGTTGCTGATTAAAACATATTGAAATTAGCCTGTTTTAATTGGTAGGGAAAAAGTAATGCTTATTTCTTATGCTTAAATCAATACTGATACATATTTTCCTATTGATTGATTCATCGTTTAACTAGAATGCATTGTATTAATTAGTCATTCAATGAGAATTGTAATAAGATTTAGTAGTCCGAGCCTTATTGAACCTTCTCTTTTGTACAAGATGAGAAATGGAAATCTTCAATTGAAATGTATGCATGTAACATTGTAGACAATAGAACATACTTTTCTTACATGTATTTCTTTTTTTAGTCATGCTTTTTTGCATTGAAGTATTGACATTTAATGAAAATATATATATCTGAGATAATTTACCTGTGTAAAAAACAACTTTCAAATAGAAAGAAATGTGTTTATATGTATATTTTGCATAGTTCTTTTGTAAATACAAAATACATATGTTATGTCAACAATTGTCTTTTTTATTATTTGTTTGTCTTAATATAATAGAATAGGTTTTAATTTATAGTTTGTAAAAGTTTCTAGGTTGGCCTTTCATCAACTTACTGGTCCTTCATTTTCAATTTATGACCAATGCACCTCATTGTGCTATAGCTTGTGTATTAAAAGAAAAAAAGAGAATGTGTGATATATTTCTAAAGTTTTTAATTTTAATCATTTAATGGTCTAAGTAACAGAATTTAAGACCAAGTTGGAAACCAATAAATTGTTTTTTTTATTATTCTGACAAGTGAAATATATAAAAAGTATTTTTATGATAAATGAAATATGAGAAATAGTTTAGGATTGAAATATTCTAAATGTTCTTTCAATTCAATTCATGAGAAATGTGGTCCTTGCTATTGGATAGAATGGATGTTGGGTAGAAACATTTTGATGAAATATTAGGAAACACGGACACACGCCTTTAGGTGCAGGACTTTTTAGCTGTGTTTAAGACCCAATGGTGGACATCAGTTGTTTTCTGCCCTTTGGTCGGGTTGTCTCTTTGAAATATTCCCCTTTATTTTACTTGTTTGTACTAAAGTCAAATATATTTAGTATGCAGTTGAGTTGACATTGGCAAATCTCATTTCCAGGGATAGTGTTAGCACCTCTACTTCAGTCATGGTCTTTTTGCTTTGAAACTTTTGCATAGTCTAAATGTTAAAGTTTGTGTCTATGTCATTTCTAATGAAAGTAAACACTTGTGAAATTTGGTATGCAATTGTATATTAAGAATTGTCATTTCTCATTTCCAAGATGGTTATTTAGCCCTGCACCTTCAGTTGTGGTTAATTGACTGAATGATTTGCCCAATTTTAATTTTAAACAATCACATTATAATATAAAAATTGAGTCGGACAAAACATATCACTGTCAATAATTTGTACTCAGTACCCACCAAAACAGAAAATTGTTTTCTGACGTACAAATGAATCCACAGTATTCTGTTGCATATTCTGAGGTATAGTTTGTAACTCTTGGTTGGAGTAATATATATCTATGAGGTTGTAAGCTATCAATACAAGTTAAAAAAAATCTTTATTGTCACTAGATCTAAATTTACCTTTCCTAATGATGTTTAATATTCTGTATTCTTGACTTTTTCGCATAGATGAGCTAAAAGTATTGTAATATTTGAAGTGCATGATGTAGTATATTGAGATTTTTTTAATCAACAACAAGGTTTTTCCTACTTGACTTGACTACCTGTGAGGGTCTTGCACGGTTGTTTTTTAATCAAAATCAAAACACTGATACAAACAACACCATAAATATATTTATAGAAAAAAAGCAAATCGGATAAAACTGACCTACAGCACAAAATTAACATTTATCAAATTGAAAGAAATCATACAAGACAAAAGATATCCTAAGGGAGATAAAAAAAAAACCTAAGGGACAAAATTAATCCTAAGGGAGAGAAGAAAATTTTAAGGGAAAGAAGAAAATCCTAAGGGAAAAAAAATATCCCAAAGGACAAATTAAATCCCTTAGGAGAAATAAATAATCCTAAGGGAGAAAAAATATCCCATAGGACAAATTAAATCCCTTAGGAGAAATAAATAATTCTAAGGGAGAAAAAATATCCCATAGGACAAATTAAATCCCTTAGGAGAAATAAATAATCCTAAGGGACATTTTTTATGGAAAAAAGTTTCTCATGATAATCCCATAGGATAATTTATATCCTATAGGATTGAAATTTTTTTTTAAAAATCCCACAGGAATTTTAATCCTGTAGGATATTAATTTTATCCCATAGGATATTTTATCTCCTACAGGATATTTTTATCCTAAGGGATTTAAATATCCCACAGGATATTAAAAATATCCTACGGGATTATGACTTTATCCTATAGGATTTCTAAAAATCCTGTAGGATTTTTAAAAATCCTATGGGGAAAAAAAATATCCTATAGGATATTGACACTGATTTCACTCGTAATGCCGAACGGGGCGAGCCATATCAAAACTTTTTTTTTAACTGTTTTACCTATAGGCATAGGTATATTATTGCCAAGTTTGATAATTCTACATTAAAAAAAAATGTGGTTCCAATTTGCACTCACGAGAAGTGCAAATTAATCCGAGAACATGTTTGTTGTTTGTTTTCGATATGAACAACGATTTAAACATTCATCTTGAATGAAATACATTTTTTTTACTTCCTTATTCTTTTCCAGTGATAAAGCTCTATCACCCAATAAAGCAACAAAAAATAAAATCCAGAAAACCCATTTGAACAAATTTTCTTTTTCTTTCAACTTACAAGTTTAGATGTACGTGGGGAGAATGATTTCACAAAGTTATATCAATTTAGGTGACGTTTTACTCTACCACACTGTCCATCCTTCTAACCCTTATAAAACAAATGTTTGAGATTGAGACAAAGTTAAACAATTTATTATCAAATCATGAATTTGATTACTAGTACAACAAACCACTTAAGATATATATATATATATATATATATATATATATATATTCCAGTTTGTTACGTAGATACCAATATCAATTAGTTTGTAAGCCTGAAACTGTCGGAATCGTATATGCAACGGTTATTTACACTCGTATCTTACTGTAAAAATATAAACTTAGCACTGTTACTGTGACATTTTTGAATCAAATTATCTGAAAGGTTATTTAGTTAATACGATATTCCAGGTTTCCTGGTTTAACCGAATGAGGCGTATCATCAAATATATACTAACCATAAGCAACATTACGCGTGCCACTAACTATAGTGGAGCAGTATCTTCAGACCCTTCTGTATCACTTGAGGTTACCCTCAGCGATTAGCTGGGTCATGTAACCTAGTCTTTAGTTTTCTATGTAGTGCTTTGTGGCCTTGTTTGTTTTTTCGTCGTCCTTTTTGCCTCGGTCATATTTATGAGTTTTGAATGTCCCTTGGAATCATTAGTCTCTTTTTATATTGATATCGTACTGTGGTTAATTTTTCTAACATACTCGTTATCGATACTAACATTGATTTCATTTTAATACTACATTACATAATTAAGAAGTAACCAGGATTTTATCTTTTTGTCAAACATCCTACCGATACTTGTTTTAAGACATTGTGCATGGGTATCAAAAATCATTTCATTAGTTAAAATTGGACTTCGTGCAAGCATGCAATATATATTTATACTCTAAGATTTATACTTATTGTTTTTTTCTCATATTTGTATTGTGCTATGCACCATTATGAAGTCAAGCACTGTACACCTGCATTTAACAGTTTTTTCGTATGTCATGTTGTCACATCACTTCATTTTGCCTAATGGGGGTTTTTAATTATTCCAACACCTCCTTCTAAAGTGTCGGTCCCATAATAGGAATCTGTTAAATAAAGTTTGCAGGAATTGTCTGTTAACGCCGTCCGTTGGTGTAGACTTGTAGGATGAGTTATTTATTTGGTTTTGCTTTCAATTATTTTTTTATTTGGTCATTCTATGCCTTTTAAAAATTACTATACGTATGGGTTTTGTTTAATACTGAAGGCATGATAGTGACTACGTTATAATTAACATCTATGCATTTTCGTCTATCGGTAGTTGCCTTTTTGATGATATTATTACGTCTCCTGATTTCATCACCAATTTCAACAAGCATAGAACATATGGTATATTCAGCTTTTGTTAAATCACCTGAACTTTTACACTTCCGGAGCACCTAAAATCAATCTTTGTGGAATTTGTGTTGTTCAGTCTTTAGTTTTCTATGTTGTGTTTTGCATACTGTTGTTTGTCTTTTGTTGTTGCCATTGCGTTGTCAGTTTATTTTCTACTGTTGATTTTGAATTTCCTTTTGGTATCTTTCGCCCTCTTTTTTAATATCAGGCAAACTTGATGAACGCGTTAACGATTACAAAAATTGTAAATGGATTAACCTAAACGGTAATTAAAGTTTTTGAAAACTGAAGTGTAAAACGTGTAGAATAAAAAGAAATATAATGTAAAAAGGGAAATATTTCCGACAACTCTACGTCACCGTCGTGTTCATCAGGCGTTTTGTAAAATTTCATGGATATAAAATCGTAAAGTTAAACATTCGTGTGCGATTGTTGGCTTTAAGATGCATTAAATCACTTTCATTGAAAAGTAAAAATTTATCTGTAAGGAGTTTTTTATACATGTAATACGTGTTAAATAAACCAATTATAAAATGAAAAATGAAAATAACTGAGTTTCTAATATATATATATCTTAAACTACAACATTTAATCATAAACGTATGT